AGTTTTGTGTAGTTTTAAACGAATTAAAGCCCAGGTACAAATAATGAAAAAAGGAATGCTGAAATTTATTTTCTTTTTTCTGCTTTAAATAAAAATAAAAAAAAATTAGGACTTGCTTGTCAAGAAACCTCTTCCATGTGTTGCAGCTCTCACCATCAGCACCTTGTGACCTACCTGAAGCCAAATACTGGTGAATATAGGATGGCACAGTGTGTGTGTGAAAGAGAATTATTTGGACCATAGTGGTATACTGATAACTTATGTATATGTTTCTGTAATGTGATGGTTGGAATAGCAGGATCTAAAACCAGTGGTCTGTTTGGGAAGAGATGAAATTGAAGAGATGGATTGAAGAGATGATTCAGAAGTAAATAGATGATGGCTTGGGAAAAAATAGTTTACTTTTTTTTTTTTTTTTTTTTTTTTTTGGTCTTTGTTTTGATCTTAACAGTTGTCTTCTGACCAGTGAAAAAGCTGTAATAATATTTTTCCACCTTCCACCATTTCAGTAGAGCATATAGTTTGAAGAAATTTAAATACAAGGCAAATGAGGGAATATCAAACACAAACTTACCTGATTTTTTAAAGAAAAACACAGGTGTAAAAAAAGGTCTTTCTGGCTTTCATTGTGGAAAGATTATTAAAAGCAAGGTGGTGAAATGGTTGAACATGGACTGAAAGAATGACAGAGCAAAGGGCAATGGTGGGAAGTCTTACACAGAGAGGATAAAGACAGGTAAAGTCCCAAAAGAGAAAAACAGGAAGGACCCTCAAACATGGGTGTTGTATTTAAAGGTGATTTTTTCTTCTAAAGTATTTTTTCTTCTGTAAGAAGAAAAATCATTGGAGGAGGGAAAGGAACTGACGTTAGAAAGAGAGATGTGGACAAGACAAGAATGAGTTATATGGTTCTCTAGACATCTCTTGATCTCCACACTTGCCAAGAAAGCAAGGGAAAAGAAAGAATTCTTTTTTCCTCTTAATTACTACAATCTCCTGTTCTTGTGGCTACTTTTTTTTTTTTTTTTTTTGGCACTTGTTATACCAATTTTACATTTTGCACAGTAGTTCACTCAGTAAAAAGAAAAACAGATACCACATACAAAAACACTTTTATTATTGTTATAATTTGCTGTTTAATGCAATGCTTTAACTAGGGATACAGCTTGGCAGAAATACATACACATATATTGCATGTAATTTACTTGTGTAATTTCAAACCCACATTGCCTCATTGCTTCATGAGTTGTTTTGGTTGAAGCACCTTCTTCCTTTATTCTGCATAACATGTTTGAATGTTGCTGAATAAGACAGGTGTTCTTTCTCCAAATGGAGCATAACATTACATCAAAATTCCCAGTTAATATGACTATCAAACTTTACTTTCACTGTATGAATATTGTGTATAATATGTATGTATCTATACAGAATATATAAATATATATCTATAATTTATATATAATCAAATGGGTCAGCTTTACGATGCTAACCATAAACTTGTGCTTATCTTCTTTATGAGATCAAATGTACAGCATCAAGAATTTGACCAGTCCCCAACTTCTCAGTCCTACAATAGGATTTTTGATATCATATCATGTAATGCATTCCTTCTTTTTTTCAATATTTACTTTGAAGAAAGGAATGCAATGTTTTTTTCAGATATATATATAAATGGATAACAGATTTTCCATATCATTAAGCTAGAAAAAGTCTCAAGAAGAGATGAGGTTCTTCCTTGCACATAGAACTTGAAGATAATTGGACATTCATTCTGGATATATTTACATTATAACTTAATTTGAATAGCACTACACATACTGTGTTATTTCTGTACATAGTCAAGATATGCTGCTGGTAATGTTAAAACACACTATCTAAAGGTATTTACAAACTGCTACTGTCTGATTTACTAACCACCTTTAAAAAGTGGCACCAGTATTAAGGGAAAATTATTCAAAGGTCCATTTATTGGCAACCATGGTATTCTTTCCCGTGTCATTTTTATCAATAATACTGTTACAACTGTTTTGTACTTCAAAGAATGTCTATCTTTGGAGTAAAAGTGCAGGGACAGAACTACTGGGGAAAGAAATTCCTCCCCTACTCCAGCAGCCTACACGAACCAGAACAGGAGAAAAAAGACAACTGAATATCGACCTGTCCTTCCCTTTTCAAAGTTAGGGCATGCTAAGCCTGTGCCCCTGTGCTTTCTTCAGAGCTGCCAGATGAGCCAAACCAAAGGTTAAATACTCAAGGAAGTCATTCATTTCAATGACTATGATAATAAACACCTTAAACACACTGCCTCACACACTATCCATAGCTGGTTTTCTCAGAGAGTCAGAGCATTTTTGGGGCACCTATAAGTGTTTCTATGTGCTTCTTTGCAAGTACTCTGAAACACACAAAAGAAAAGCAAACAAACAAACAAAAACCAAAAGAAAACCAAACCAAAAAAAAAAAGCAAAAAAACCCAATGCTAATATATAATAACTCATTATACAAAGGTGGGAAAAAAAGGAACAACCCAATGGACTTTTTCAGGTTATGCAAAACTTTGGGAGGGGAAAAAGCATGTGCTTCTTTCCCCCACTCCTCCCCCCCTCCCCCTTCCCCCCCATTCCATTACTTGTGACATGAAATACCTCTAACAAATCTACCCAGTATACTAAAGGCCTGGGAGAACTAATACGTTCATGTGTTCCACTAGTTCCATAATGTAGAAAATGAGGCCATAGCAAATGAAGGAACCAAAAAAAAAAAAAAAAAAAAAGAGAAATAATTGCATTTGTTTTGGTGAATGAGTGATGTCCATCTCAACTCTGTTATGATTAGTTCCTTAATCATGGATTTTCAATGAATATTCTGCTAGTAAGACTGGGAATAAAAGGGCAACCAAGGAAAGGGAAGACTGCCTTACCATTGCCCAGGGCATAAAGTAAATATTGCTGCTTGATAGTACCTTGTAAGAACACTCACTCTTTACCATCATCCTCTGTTGTTTCTCATATAGACATAATAAAACTGGGGAGAAAGAGAACTGATTTCATTTCATGTGAGGAATTTGCTTCATTCCAAATTAAAACCACTGAAGAAAGGATTTATGAAACTTCTTACTCCACGCATTATTTTGGACTTCAGCAGAGGTGAGAAGGCAATATAATATTTTTTGTGGACTTAAGGATTTTGAATACCAACATTCACAGTGCCTGAAAAGCAAGAGAAACTGTGTACCTGTAGCTAAAACACAAGTTACAGATACTTCTTAAAGTGAAGGAGGAAAAATGCTTTTTGTCAAGACTGTGACAAAAGAGGAAAGGCAGGCAGAGAAACAAGAAAAGACGTCACAGCAAATTAAGGACCATCTATCAGCTTCCTTCAGGGAAAGATTTTCTATAAATTAAAAATGAAAGATTTCTTAGAAGTGTGGAGCTGTTCATGATTTTACAGGAAAAATAAATAGGATATTGTCTCCAGTGAGTGTCTCTAGACAAGTTTCATAAAGTATCTGTAGACCCAGGAGGAGAAAAAGCCTCACTCTTTTTGGCTGCTCAATTTCTACCATTTGCCTTGCTGGCATCTATGAATACAGAGCCAGCCAAGAAGAGGGCTTTAAAAATATTGAAAGCCCCTGTATTCTGATCCCACTTCCTGTCAATAAACACCTGAACCTCAAGGCCCAGAGCTTGTTTTCCCGTTCTTGTTTTCTTTCTTAAGTTTAACTTCACAAAGAAAGCTCCATGTTTTTGTAAAAAGTAAATATATTTAGACATTTTTGTAAGGGGAAGGAAGGAAAACAAATCTTAGCAGCATGTTTCCTGCCTTCCACCAACTGCATCATGGAGCATAATGTGGCTGTAAGGATGCTTTAGCAACTTGGTCTTGCAGAGAGCCAGTACCAGCAGATGTTTTGTTTTGGGTAACAGAAGTGGCAAGGCAAGGCTCTGACAACTGAGTTGAAGAATTTTAATTGTACCACCCTAGCAACACCAGAGAAATCAGGTGCTCTGTCAGCAGGAGTAGGGAGAAGAGCAGGGAGAAAATTAATAAATTCTAGGGAAGGAGCTAGTGAGTTTACTAGCAAGCCCCACCGAAGAGCAGACAAAGGAAACATTCAAATCCATGAGGATTTGATGAGATGAAATGAACAAACAAAAAATAGAGTGCATCTCCTTCTGCCTCTGTTACAGCTGGGATGTCTGGGATGTCTGGAATGTCTGGGAGCAATTGGTACACCCTGAGGTCTTAAAAATGAGTGGACAACCATAAAACAGAGGGCTGATGGATTTAGCTGTTGCTTTTGACTCCTTCACATTTTGTGGATGACACACAACTTATCCCAGGATTCCATTTGAACACTCTCATACCCATGAACATTTGTGAGGTTGAAGAAAGGAAAGAAAGAAATAGGGAAAGAAGGAGTTAAAGAAAGAGAGAAAAGGGAGGAAGGGAGGAAGGGAGGAAGGGAGGAGGGAAACAGGGAAGGGAGGAAGGGAGGGAGGAAGGGAGGAAGGGAGGAAGGGAGGAATTTGACTCACATACTTGCGTTGGTTGATTTCAGACTATTTTTCATCAGGCAGTGTTCAAACACTCCTGTCTCCAAATGAATCCTCATGATTTCTGACACATCAAATGAAAATTTCAAACATAAGACTGACAAGTTTTCCTCCAATTTTGTACTAATTGGAAAACAGACTTCTGAATATTGCTTCAGTTTCTTTCTTCTTAATTTTTTTAAAAATTAATCTGTATATATTTAACCACAGATATCTTTAATACTCAGGAATGTACCAGTTAGACTGATATATCACTAAGCTGTTGTCCTCTTCTTGAAGAGTGAAGGTAGCATGGCCTGTGAGAGAGTGATTCACCCACCATGGGCTGCTAATGGGACAGTCCTGCTGCAGCAGGGCTACTTCAAATGGCTGAGCCTTTTTTTGGTTTTAGCTACTTCTGGAAATGATTAAGAGGAAGAAGATGAGAAGATCAGAAGTGTTCACTGCAGTTTTTATTGTTGTTTATTATTGTTGTTGGTTTTGGTGTTCTTTTCATGATTCACCCACAGAGTTTTCTCAACTTCTGTGTGAAATCAAAGTGGCCAGTGCAGCACATTGTATGGAATAGTTGCTGAGATCCTCTGGCCAAACCTGGTGTGAAGACGTGGCAGCACTGGCAGCAGGGCCATCAGGGGCCATAGGAAGGACAGGACGCAGGTGACAGCCAGGAAAGCCAGAAGAGGTATCCACGGAGAGTTGCTTTTCGAGATCAACATCTGCATCTTGCAGAACTATCTTTCAGAAGGAGAGTGAAACCTGGTAAATGTGGTTTGGAACACAAAGCAAAGAAATGAGAGCTTGAGAGATGTTCAGAAGAGCAAATTATTATGTGACCCTGAAAGATTATACTGTGTTTTGATCTGATCCGGAAACCTGAGTTGTTCCCTGGGTCTCAGGAACAGGCTCTCCTCTCTATTTCCATGCCAGGATAGACAGTGTCATCAGTAAAGACCGTCTCTCACCAGCTGCCAGCAAGCACAATATCAACACAATACCATACAACATCTTGAAGGTTAGATGATTATTTTCCATGTATATAAGCCATATTGGTGTGTGTCTTTGTGTTCTTGTGTGTACGTACATAGGTGTGTATTTTCACCCATTTTAACAGTTGTGAACATAAATATATACGGAACAAGATGGAAACATACAGGATTATGATTCTTGCAAGCCCCTTAAATATGCAACAGTACACCAAAAGTAATTTTGTCTTTTAGGATCAAAAGTGGAGGTGACTTAAAGGAAAAGTTCTAGAAAACTTTAAACATGGCTGCCTTTTTCTTTTTCTTTTTTTTTTTTTTTTTTTTTTGGTAGTTGTTTTATGAATACTGGCCCCAAAATAAATTATTTCCTAAAGGTACATTGAGCATTATGAAGTCACAGTCACAGGATGAAAAATATAATTGTAATCAATAGCTTACACTTCTTAACCTATAGAAATGTCCTTAGCTATTGGAGGAACTCATAATTTATGAACAAGTGGCAGCTTCAAAGAGCAGAATAAGGCATGGGTGCCCAACTTTTTGTCTTTCCTGAGACTGAATGAAGAGGAATTATCTTGGGCTGTATACAAAATATGTAATATAGTTAATGTAAGTAGGTAACAAAAATTATTATTATTATTTTTTTTTGTAATATATATTTTCTTTTTTACTGAAATTAAAAAAAAAAAGAGAGAAACAAAGCATAAAACTAGTGAGGTGTGAGGTGACTTTGTTTTGTGAAACTGATGCATCAATGTCTGGTTTGATGGAAGCGTTTGCGATTCTTACTGATTTTTCAAGGTGCTCATCAGTTATTTTTTGATGAAATGTTGCTCCTCCTCCACTTCATCCTTGAGAATAGTTGCTCACAAATGTATATACTGCCAAAAAGTGGTGACATATATAAGGTGTGATTGTGAAGTGAGGACTAGTTTTCCCTGGTAAGATAGGTCTTACAAAAGTCTAATGAAAAGACATGATCAAATTTTTGAGTTGAATATCTGATGGCAACCCTATACATTTCATTTGAAAATTTGTAGGTATTGTATTTTTTGACTGAAAACGGAGTTGCAAGTATACACAAAAATTGATTAAATTCTCTTCAGTCTTGAAACCTGTTCTCAAATTCCTTTATGAAGACAGAAATCAAGACTGCCTATTTTTTGTTGTTCGAAAGACTGTGTTCAGCCAAAGCATAAAAAATGTATAAAATTATTTGCCATGTCTTGAGTTAGCACTGTACTGTACCTTCCACTTGTCCTGGGTTCAGCTGAGACACTGATATATTGGTTGTTGCTAAGAGATGGATGTGTGCCCAGGTCTTAGCTGGACTGCTCAGAAGGGAAGAACCACCACCATGATAGTGCGGGGAAGGGGCAGGCTGCAGTATGAGCTCTCCTGGGGCTTATGTGGCCAGTGGATTAGACATGCCTGGAATGAAGCATTCTCATACTTGCTGGAAAATTGAAGCTAAAAGATGAAATAATCATAGAATCATTAAGGCTGGAAAAGAGCTACAAAATCATCTAACTGTCCAACTGTCAACCCATCACCTCCCTGGGCAGCCTGTTCCAGTGCATCACCACACTTTTGGAGAAGAAATCATTCCTAATGTTCTCCTGGAACAACTTAAGGCTATTAACTCTCATCCTATCACTGTTACCCAGGAGAAGAGGTTGATCCCCATCTCGCTACAACCCACTTTCAGGTCACTGTAGAAGTGATAAAGTCTCCCTGAATCCTCTCCTTCTCTGGACTAATAAATGTCAGTTCTCTCAGCCACTTCTCTTAAGACTTGTGTTGCAGACCCTTCAACAGCTTTATTGCCAGCTTTCAACTTCTCTGGCCATTGTCCAGGGCCTTGATGTCTTTCTTGTAGTGAGAATCCCAAAACTAAACGCAGTACTTGAGGTGTAGCCTCACCAGTGCAAGTACAGGGATGATCACCACATTAGTATACTATTTCTCATTTAAGCCAGGATACTATTGGACTTCTTGGCCACCTGGGCAGACTACTTGTTCATGTTCAGATGGCTGTTGATTAATATCCCTATATGTTTTTTGTCTGTGCAGCTTGCCAACCAATAGCCTGTAGCATTGTATGATATTGTTGTGATCAAAGTGAAGAACCTGGCACCTGGTCTTGTTGAAGCTCATCCTGTTGGTCTCAGCTCAGAGATCCAGCCTCTTGATCCTTCTGTAGGACTTTCCTATCCTTGGACAGATCAAAACTTCCTCCCAACATGGTGTTATCTAAAAATTCACTGAGGATACACTCAATTCCCTCATCTAGATCATTAGTAATGTTACTAAACAGAACAGGCCCAACACTGACCCCTGAAGAATACCACTAATCACTGGTTGCAAATGGATTTAACTCCATTCACTACCACTCTGTCCCAGGCCATCCAGATAGCTTTCTACCCAGTGAAGATTACACCTATCCAAGCCATGGTCTGCCAGCTACTGAAGGACAATACTGAAGAAATAGAGTCAAAGGATTTGCTGAAGTCTAGGCAGACTTCTTCCACAGCCTTTCCTTAATCCAACAGATGGATCACCTGGTCATAGATAGAGATGAGGTTGGTCAAGAAGGACCTGCCTTTCATGAACCCATGATGACTAGATCTGATCCCCTGGTTGTTCTACATATCACATGATTGCACTCAAGATGATCAGCATGACCTCCCATGACACTGAGGTCAGGTTGACAGCCCTCTAGTTCCCCAGACCCTCCTTCTGGCCCTTCCTGTAGACAAGCATCACAATGGCAAGACACCAATCAACTGGTATACATTCTTTGCCATTTGATATGGTACTGTATTATTGTACTATTGATACCTAAAATACATGCTGAAAGAAAGGAACAGGTGTGTTTCTTCTATCCATCTTTTCTAAAGAAATAAGATTTAGAAAAAACATATTTTATTTTTATTTTTTTTTTACCTGCATTTATTTTTAGCACTCTAGGGGAATGAGTTACATAGAAATGATCATGTAATTCTCACCCCTAATCTGTCAAGATAAGACTAGTGGATGTAGCTTTGAAAGACTTACTCAGTTTTGCAAGACTTAGTAGTGAGCAATTGTTTCTTATCAGCAGGACGATGAAACCTGTGGTAGTAAATATGATTCCAAATGAATGTGGTTTGCCAAATTAGTTTCTTGACTACGTGGAGACACTTAGATGTATCAGGATGAAATCACCAGAGCTGTAAAATCAGTGAGTGCATAGTAAGACATACTCATCCTAAATTTAACGTGGCCTTAATTTACTGCAGTTTCATCCTCCTCATTTTCCCTTTCTACTTGAAACTTGTACCTTGAAACATGAAAATTATCATATTGCTAAAGTGCTTTGACACTCTTCTCCAATAAGCTTGTCAAATGTAAAGCTTAAGTCTGCAGGTTTAATTTTCCCACAATCTTGAAGGCTTTTATTTCAAAGTGCATTTTGGAAGACTCTAATACGGTAACATGAAATAATAGAATGGTTTAGGGTCCCATTTGGTAGGTGGCTTTCACTCCAGAAAACAGTCTCTTGAGAGACTATGCAGCAAACTGCTTTTTGGTAATAAAATGCGTAGGTTTACCTCCTGTTAGAGTTATGGAGAAGGAGGTAACTGTAATATGCAAAATTCACAGACAATTTCATTTTTGAGTAATCTAATACTCTTTGTTCTATCCACACAGTGCTCAGTTGTGCTACAATAAATATGAAATATTGAGATAGTAAATTCTTTGCCAGGAAGAAATAATACGGATTTGAGCTGGTGCAGAGTAGCAGATAATAACTCAATCTTGAGCCTTGCCAGCCCCCAGTCTAGACTATTTTGGTATCTTGTTTTGAGTAATCACTGTTTTCATCTCAGCCTTTTTATTAGTATTATCTGTTGGCATGCAGTGAAAATATTGCTCCTATCTAGCACAAAATGAAAAGTAGTGAAAATCTTTTCCAGAAAGTAAAGATGTTGTCAAAGATGCATCTAGGTAGGACCCTTGTTTCACACTAAGGGCTTAGGCAGAGCATGATCTGTGTGGGCACATTGGTTTCTTCCATTCTTTTCCTCAATTAATAAATTGAGAATTTTGTCTGATTAAGAGCACCGTCATTTAATATTAATTATTTCTTCTGTGGAGGCTCAGCATATTTCTTCATCTGTATATCTAACTTTAAAAGGACGTAACCTCTATTTTCCTAGTAATGAACTCATTTCTAGTTTTCAGCTGAGGCTCTTCATTTGGCCACCATGGTGGTTGATTTGATAAGACCTTTGAATTTACAACTTCTTTTGATATTCAGTCCTAAGGTACAAAAGGAAACAAAAGGTGAATGGAAGTAAAAAAGAAATTCATGGGTGGATTTTATATGACAAACAAAGTGCACAAAATTGTCTCAAAAGCTTTCGCTTGCATGAATGCTGAAACAAATCTGGGATGTAGCAAGCTGGAAAGGCTATCTTTTTTTCACTTTTATTTTGACTTAGTGGGGGGATAATGGGACAAAAATCCCTAGAAAGGGGTAAGTGGCAAACTTAGACTGATACATGTTAGGCAATGGTTACATGTCGAGCAAAAATACACTTTCATAAATGATGCAGTTTTGGAAATGAGAGTGTTATAAAAGACATAAAATAAGTTTCATCATGTTTTACATAACATTACGTTTCTCACATGACACAAACAAAAAGCTTTAGACAACCTTGAGCTTTGGAAACCTGCTATGATTTGGATTATGTAAAGTTCTTTCAAGCCCCTATGTCTCTTCCACATCATTATTTTTAGAGTTTGCTTATTTTTTTTCCCTAGATGAAGACATTTCAAACACACAGAGAAAAAAAATAGATATAGTGACAAAAAAACCCCACAACAAACAAAGATTCTAAAGCCCTTCTTCAGAGTACTCTCAGAAAGTAAGGAACTGTGCCTCCAGTCCAAATACTTGAATAACTCCTCAGAACTTACGCATGTCCTCAAGATTTGTTGTCAGTGATTAAAATAAAAAAAAAGATCTTTAGTGTAGTTCTCAGGGGTGGAGTTGATGCTCCATCTCAGTATTTCCTCTAATGTCTCTGATTGCACATTCCATAATAGAGCATAAAGTGCTATGACATTGTTGTTTGTTTATTTGTTTCATAATTTAGTTTGGAACTTCTTCATGTTTTCCACTATTTTATTATTATAATCTATTTATTTATTTATTTACCTTGTTGCTCCTATATTCTTGTAATGGCACATAAGAAGGTGCTTAAAGGTCTTCTTGAATGTGGCATTGCAGAGCGCATAACAAGCAGGATTGATGGTGCTGTTGATGTAACAGAGCCAATAACCTATGGTCCATACAGTACCAGGGATGCAGGATGCACAGAAGCTGTTGATGAGCACCATAACATTGTATGGGGTCCAGGTGATGATGAAAGCTAGGAGGATGGCTAAAATGGTCCTTGTCACTTTTTTCTCTCTAGAAGGTGGTGGTTTCTTTTTGGCTGGCTGCTTTGTCATCTTGACTATTTTCCGGGCTACACTATTCTGCTTCTCATCCCCATTGGTGCCTACAATTTCCACAGTAGTGTTGGTGGGAGCACAGCAGTCACCCTTTTGGGACTTGGTTACTATCCTGATGCATGTCAGCTTGGAGTTCTCCACTTTGAGATGGTCTTGGGAGGCAGAAGTCTGGCTGGCATCTTTGGCAGCTTCATCCTCTTTTATGTTGGAAGGGACAACACTCACTGAGGTGGAGTCATTGGAGCTGTCCTTCTCCTCCCCTTGAACACAGTTTTCCATCACACTCTCTCCAGTGGTTTTTCCATTCTGAATTTTATTATGTTCCAGCCCATCTGAACTAGTTGGGATGTTGTTATTGTTTGGTTTTACTATTTTACCTTGGACAAGGCTGGGGGAAACTGGATCCTGGTTTTGGGCAGCTTCCTTTTTCCCTTTCTTTATTCGACTCTTGCTGGCTCGAGAGATTTGCCAGTAAAGAACAGTCATGATTATAACAGGTAAATAGAATGCTGCAATGGCAGTGCCAAAAGTGACAGCAGGATTGGAAAAAAACTGGATGTAGCAATCCTTGTCGGGAACAGTCCTTCCCCCTACAATGAACTGCCAGAAGAGAATTGCAGGGGCCCACAGGATGAAGGAGAGAACCCATGCAGCTGCAATCATTATGCCTGCCATCTTAGTCGTCCGCTTTACAGGGTATGTCAGAGGCTTGGTGACACAAAAGTATCTGTCAAAGCTGATGATAAGGAGGTTCATCACAGAGGCGTTGCTGACCACATAATCAAGAGCCAGCCAGAGGTCACATACCACGGGCCCTAAGGGCCAGTAGCCTATCACAGTGTAGAGGGTATATAGGTTCATGGAAAAGATGCCTATGATCAAGTCAGCGCAGGCCAAGCTGAACAGGAAATAGTTGTTGACAGTCTGCAGGTGCCTGTTGACTTTGATTGACACCATGACCAGGATGTTCCCAATTATGGTAACTAAGCTGAGAGAACCTGCCACCAAGACGATGAAGACCACTTCAATAGTTTTATAGGGGCTCTCCAGAGCTATTACATTTTCAGAGGAAGAGTTTATGTACGTTGAGTTATTCATTTCTGTGCTGCTAACAAGAGACTCAATTATCACTTAAGCCTGCAGAGGAAATAAAAGACATACACCATTATGAAATTAGTCCCTTTGCTTTTAGAAAATGGAAAACTACCTGGAAAGAATTTAAAGGTAGAAGACTGAGTGCAGAAGAATCATTCAATTCATGCTAATGTAAAACCCCTTAAAATGTATAATATCCCCTTAGGAGTAACAAAGCAATAAGATTCTCTTAAATATATGATAAAGATACTACAGTTGAATGCAAATTTAGATTGTTTTTTAATCTTCTCTTGTTCATTTCTGCCTTTGTCCAGCAACTGTACATTGATTCTTTCCCTTCTAACACTTTGCAATAAACCAATGAATTCCTGGGAATATGTCATTCTTGTAACCCAAGGTGAGGAAGTTAATTACTATGAGCTGGATCATGACAAAGTGACTTATGTCTCCTTCTTTTCTTCATGTTCCTGACTGGGTATGCTTCTGTAAAGTGTATGGAACAAGTTTGTGTCATCTTTCCACCTACTTTTCTTATATTGATGTGTCTTTTTCTTTCTTTCTTTTGTTCTTTTTTATTTTTATTTTTTTATTTTTTATTTTTATTTGTGTGTGTGTGTGTGTGTGAGAGAGAGAGAGGGAGAGAGCATTTGCAAAGATTTTGCCCTTAAGGCAGTAGAATTAGTAGACTCACCTCAGCTCCATCTCTAGCTTTCTCATTAGATGTATATAAATTAGTCTTTTTTTTTCATTTCAGTGAAATCAAAATAATTTTATATGTTCAGTTGACTATTTGTGCCTGGAAAATGTTGGGTTTGTTTGTTTGCTTTTGTGTATGTGTTTTCTTTAAACATGGTGTGTTCTCTTGATGCTCGCTTGCTTGTACTTTCCTCATTATAATTTTTTTTCAATTCACAATATTTTTAATCTATATTGCATAGAACTATGACATAAGGTATGAAATGGGTAGGAGGAAAACTATAAAAAAATAAACAGATAAAAATCACTTCTGTTCAAATACAGCAACTCTTTTTTGCTATGTACACCTATCGGCAGTACTCAATAAACATTAATTAAAATACTAGCAAAATATATTTGCTAGAAGACCAACAAGCAGCATGTGATTTTGCCATAAGGATATGTACTCTCCTTTTGTGCATCCCCTAGAAATCAATAGAATGTGCTGGAATTGTAGAGACAGTCTCTGAGCTCTCATTATTTATGAGCTGTGCTCAAGGGATTATTGAAGCATGAAGGCCAGATGTGACAGAGAAGTTAGATTGTTTCTAATTGGAATATTTTCCTTTTTTTTTTTTTTTTTTTTCCCTCCCACCCAAAAGGCACCACTTCCTCAAGACAGATCTTCAAGAATTGGAGATTCAGGCAAAAGAAGGTAGAAAAAATCAGTTATGTTTGAACCTTTTATACTTCAAGGGTAACGAATCCTTCTCTGATTCCTATAACAAAGCTGTTGATGCACAGAAATATATAACCCATATTACTTAAACAGAGCAGTGCATTTTCATTGTCTTTTTAGCACTATTTTCTTTCAGATGCAGAAGGAAGAAGATGATGTCAAATGTCAACACAACAGAAAAAGCCCTTCTGATCTCCCTGAAAAATAAGCAAGTTTGTCTCTGTGGAAAAGTCAAATTGCTAAACCAGGGTGAAGGGTCTTTGTCTAAGGTGACTTTGTAATCTCGTAATTTATACTTAAAGAAATACATCTGGCAGAATATGAAGCTCATCTTTTAAAAGATTTGTTTGCCAGTTCAGTGGTAAGGTGCACACATGGATAAACAGAGGATTGTAAGGCTAGACAGATTTTTTCATACCAGCTGTTCACAGGTATATCCCTAAAGTCCTTGGGATGAGTTTCAAGAAAACAAAGCTATGAGGAGAAATGCTTTAATTAAATATGTATTTTGTGTGGTAAGAATAGGCCAAAGGGAGTATAATAGGCTTTACATTCTGTGCAAAATAAATAAATAAATACATTTTATGTATTTTATATATATATATATAGAGAGAGAGAGAGAGAGAGGGAGGATTAACCCAGAAATCTTTAGTCTACTGGACTGGCATTTCAGCAGGGACCCCAAATGTGCGGCTGACTGTCCAACTGGGTAAGCAAGATATCACATTTTTGGGACTTCTCCCAAGTAGAATTATGAACATTTTTGACAGAATGAATTTTTTAAGAAAAGATGAACTGACTCATGAAGATGTATTGATTTCAAAAAAAAATCATGTGAAAAGCATTTGTGATCCAGGGGTTTGCAGCTACCTCTGGTGACAAAGAGGGAGCAAGAGAGATTGGGAAAAGAAAGGAAGAGGGTAAGAGAGAAGCTGAGAGGAAGACGTTATGCTTTATAATGAAAAAACGGATGTTTCTGTACAATAACGCTGTGATAAAATGTTCAGACTTTTGTTTTTATTCCTCTGGAGAACTAAAATTCATTTTAAAACCTTGAAACTTGTGAAACTGAATTACTGCTTCCCAGCTAACTTTATTCCTAAGTATTTTCTGATGTCTTTTTTTCCATTTACAGTGGAAATACTGGGCATTCCCCTGATTTTATTATCTGAGTTTCTGGGAGCTGAATGAAACCAAAAAGCTAGTTTTACCTGATAGGAATAGGATTTCACTGTTCTTTTGAATGGAAGCAAAGCAGAAGAGTCCCTTTCCCACTGATTTCCCTTTTCATGATGCTCTCCTGCTGTGAGAAAGCTGATAATTCTGCATTGCAAATTATGTTAACTACTGTGGCTTTCCCAGGTATAGAAAAAGATGCGGGAGAATTCTGCTGTCACATATCCTAGCAAAATCTTTTCTCTTGTCAATATGATTGCAACCTATGTGTGTTGATGAGAAGGTACAAAAATGCAAAAAAAATGTTTGATTGAAATTGATATATCTCATCCCTGCTGATGGAACTACTATTTTACACATATGAACAGAAATGGGGGCATTCCTGCTTTGTAATCCGAAGATTCTGAACTTGCCGTACTGTCTTTTGCTGACCCCAGTAGGATTTGAATCATGCCTGTTGGGAGATCTTTCATCCTTACTGGGACTCCATTAGAACAGGATTGCCTGTGAACTACTTCTATTTTTGTCAAGCTGCAGACCCTATCCCTCTTGCTGGAAAGGCAGTTGTTATGGGAACAGATGTTACTCATCAGACGGATCTATGGACAGAGGTGTTTTAAGGTAATATGACCTCCCATTATGAGAAGTACCAGATCTTGTTCTTGAGCAAACAAAGATCTCTTCTGCAAGCCCATGGATATTTGCGTGAGCTGCACAATATGGCACTAACTCACACAGGCTACCATAATTTATCCTTGTATATGAAGCACATTCTTGCTGAACAGAGAATAGCCAGAAAAGGTAAGAAATTTCTCCTGCACCCGAGTTCATTTTCTGAAATATATTTTAAAATACGTGACTTTGCGAAATGTAAGCAGTATAATCAGTGCGTGGATAATGTGCAAGTCTGAGAAATATTAATATAATATAAACATAATATAAAAAAATTGTTTGATCTTTGGTAAATGGTTGAGAAACATTTTCAGTGTAGCAGTTTTTCTTCTCTTAAGAGTTTCTTCGCAGTGCTGAAAATCATTCTTTACCTTTCTGTTGACCATAGGTGTTGGGGGTAGAATGGGGAGATTAGTTGGTATTCACAGTATGTGAACTTTTGGCATGGTTTGATGCCAGGTCTTTTTGCAGTGGGTGGTAGCAAGGTCAGGCAGCAGCTGGGCACTGGTGGGTTGACCTGAGCCGCTATCACCGCTCACAAGGAGAAACTCAACAAAGGCTGGAGTGAACTTTGACAGAGCATGCTGGCTCTGTTATCTTCCTAGAAGTTATGGGGAATACAAAAAAAGAGGTCTGGTCTATAAGTTTATTCCTGCAAACCATTTGATCAGAAAGTGGAACTATTCTGAGGGTAAGAAAGCGAAATTACGTAATTGAGGGTGTTCATCTCAGAAATAGGAGGGCAAAAGAAAGGGGTAAGGACTGGATACCAACCATAGGCTCACAATCTTCCAACAGAAGTTATTTATCAATTACATTCTGCTGAGTCTGTTTTCCATTTGCCCTGACAGGATCTGATCCCTTCAGAAATCCTTACAATTTTTGCACTGTGAACAAATCATCAACATCTGTCACAAAACAGGCTATAGAAATATTTACACTGAAAAAAAAAAAAAGAAAAAAGACTGATATGCCATGCCTGTCAAATTTTGTTAAACAAATCCTTCCTTTGTACTGTATATATTGCCAAGTAAAATGTGGTAAGGATTTAATGGTTTCTTTCAATTCTCTGAAACTGTAAAAAGGTCAAGAGATGAAAGAGAAAGCAAACAATCTACACCTGAAATCCATATCAGTGATTTAAATAGAAATACCCAGCAATCTATGTGCATAGCTACTCTGAGTACTTTTCAGATTTCAGAGCTCAAAACTTTTCTAACTTTTATTTGTCTTTGATCCAATTCCTCTCTCCAATACAAACCTACGCAAAATGGATTTCATTTTTGCTGTATCAAGAATAAAATTGTATTTTTTCCTAAATTGAATTTGATCCTATACAGCATTGGTTTTGATTCTAAATTCATTTCTGGCACCATTTAATGCCATACTGTGAAAAAAGAGGAAAACAAAAACCCCAAGCCTCTGACAAATACACTGTGCACATTTGTCAGATTTTATTACAGATTTTAAGAGAGATGATGAAACTTTTCTGGGCTTTTGATAAAAACAAAACAAAACAAAACAAACAAACAACAACAACAACAAAAATCAGAAAATATCTCGAATATGAGAAGACTAAAATCTTCGCTGTATGTGTTATTCCTTGAGAAAAGAAGACTGAGAGGGGACCTGATCCAGGTCTATAAATATCTAAGGTGTGGGGGGCAGAATGGCAAGGCCAGACTGTTTTCAGTGGTGAGTGGAAACAGGACAAGGGGAAACGGCCAGAAACTGCAGCACAGGAAGTTCCGCACAAATGTGCACAAGAACTTCTTTACAG